GGGGGGGGCAGGTAATCGTCGCCTGTGTGTATGTGTGTGTACAGTATTTTTGGTTCTCGAAGAAAATATCTGTGATTTTTTTTTTCATGAATGATCTCGGGAGGAGACCGGAGAATGACTCGAAGTAGTGTGTGTTTTGCGTGGATCCGATGGATTAGAAAAGGTTTTGCTGTTGAGAGAATTGCAGTTACTATGTCGATATTTTTCTTTCGCTGGGATTGAAACTTTTTTTTTTTTAGGGATGAATGGCTCTTCGAGTTTTCGGAAGAAAAGAATGAAATAATTTGCTTTACTGTACAGTACTGTACTTTTGTATGCCAAATTATGACATATGTTTAAAAAATAAATAAATACACTGTTACATCGGTTTTGAAAAAAATCGAGAGTTTGTCTCAAATGTGTGTTTGATGACTTCTTAGATCCATAAAAGCCTAGCTGTTTCGCTGGTGTCTTCATTTTTTGCCGTTATATTTTTCTGTGAAAAGTTCCAAGTCTATATCGTAAGAGGATAATTTAATTTACGTGGAGTTATTGAGCTACATTTTCTGTTTTTCAGTTTGATTTTCTCCGGTTCGAATACTACGAAACGCAATTCGAGGATCAGATTTCAACTTACCGTATTCTTTTTTATGTGATTGCTGGATTAACTTCTGCGTATGATCAGTTGTTCACACTTGAATAATCCCGTGTTTTCAGTGCTTAGTTCTCTTTTCACCTGTCCAACTAATTTAAAATTGTGGGCGAAAAGAATTTATTGCACAAAATTCGTTGTTTTTGCCATGTACCGATGAAAAGTTGGCGCGTAGATTCAAGATGCCATCAGACTTCGGTTCACCAATTTTTATTATTTTTTCTACAGAAGGCTTGGATTTTCTTATCAAAGCCTGAGGTCAACTTTGCCATGAACCTTTTGTTATACTGTGCCGTACTTGTCGAAGCTTTTGAGACAGTGCCATGCGATTTCCTTTGAAAATATTTACGCGGATAAATTGATCGAACGCTAGGTTGTTATTGTGACCTTCCAGAAGAACTCTTTTTTTTTCCTTCCACAATCATTCGTGAGATCCCCGAGGTACCACTTTATTTCCCCAAAAAGGCAGAAGAAGGCCGCGATTTTGGGTCAGGTCACGTCGCGAACGAGGGATCCGGTGATGAGCGAGGAATCGAATTGAAAACATATGCCAATGTGCCGTTTGAAAATTTTCCTTGGAATAGATTTCTCGGGAGGATTGTTTGAATAATTGATATCGAGCTAAAAATGTTGGAAATGAAGTCATCGATTGTATCATGCAATAACATTCTAAGTTACTCACAAAAGCTTGCATATATGGCTTCTTGAAATTAAATAATATTTCAGGTATGATGGAAATATGTTAACTGAAACTGCGTCAAGATCTGAATTTTTTTTTTGGGGGCACTTTTTCTTATAAAATTACAGCAAAACCCCAGGATTCGACTCCTGTGACCTGGTGCGCTACATACAGTATTTTTCTTAGTTTCATCTGATGCCACTAAATTCAAGTACTTCTGAGTTCTCGGGTTTTCAGAAGGTCCCGGATGAGATTTCGTAGTTTTTGAGGAGGCCTGAATTCCATGAGATAACACGAATGCGAGTTGAGATTCACGATTTACTTTCGGCTTGACAACCTTTGAACTCGGTGTGGTTGAAGTTTCGCAATCGTCGGGAGTTTCGAATTTTCTGTTCGTCGTCAAGACCTTTCGAAACCACGAGGCAGTGTGAAATATTGCAATCATTTCATCACTTTATGAGCTCTTCTTTCCTCTGCAATCCTGCAAAACGATATCCTTTGGATTTCTTCCGACGTACCTCTTATTTTTATCGAATTTATACGCGCTCGTTGCGTACACATTCTCCTTTCCTGAAATTGCAGAAATACGTGTTCTAATGTTTTTGATATTTGTGCTGATGATCATTCATTATCATGTGCTTCCAAGGTCTCGGAAGTCGAAGTAGAAGGATTTGGGATTTCTTCAGACGTACCTCTATTTTTATCGAATTATACGCGCTCGTTGCGTAGACATTATCCTTTCCTGAAATTGCAGAAAAACGTGTTCTAATGTTTTTGATATTTGTACTGATGGATTATTCATTATCATGTGCTTTCAAGGTCTCGGAAGTCGAAGAAGAAGGATTTGGGAGATGGAATGTTGTCCATGAGGGCCAGGCCGCCGCCGGAGCGTGAATTCATCGACATTTTCCAGAAGTTCAAACTCTCCTTCAATCTTCTGGTAAGTCGTTAAATTTATTCCAGATTGGAATAAAATCAATGGGCGATGAATTCTGAACAGTTCTGTCTATCGATGAACTTACTGTGAAGCTAAAAGTTCGTTTAAACGAATTATTGCTTCCAACAAATTTTGTTTTCTAGGGTTACAGCCTAATGGCCATGAAGGAGGTTTTTGGTAATAACGATGTATTTTTCAAGATGCCAGACGCTTCTTTGTGACGAGATTATATTTAACGCGAAAACTTCCATTTTGAGTTTATCTTTTTTTTAACCATGTATCTCACCCAAAGGCTGCCTCATATCTTCGAAAATGTGGGGCCCTTTACTTTCCTGTGAAGTCACTTGAAATGTTACTCTTAAATGTTCGTTATTTATCCATAATCAAACCCTGATTATGTTTCCTGTTTGTTCAAACGTATATTTTTTTACATTCAGAAGAAAAGAAACTTGAGCGTCAAAGGCGGCTATAAAATTTGTGAACAATTTTAAAGCTTTGATGCACCTCATTTTTGATTCAAACATGGCGTCTTTTAAAATCAATATGTAATTGGTTACAAATTGTTATTCAAATTAACCATAATTCAAGTTTTAGAAAAATTCTGATTTATTTCATTTTGAAAATATCGCACTTTTCTGTCTCAAGAATGGGATACGCGTCTTCCTTGGGAATTCAGTACATTTCTATCCGAATTTCTGTCTGGAAAATTCGGATGCGCGCATTAATGCTCGAAAAAAGGTTAATTGTTGAAAAGTGAAGAAGAAATAACCGAAAGAAATTAATTCAAAGCTTCAGGAAAAACGAAAATTCATGTTTTTCATCCGGACCTCGGGTCACGTAACTGCTTGGGCCATGGTTGAGCGGCAAGTTGGTTTATACGCGTAAAATACCCCGAAGAACTGAAAAATTACCCAACCGTTCGTGCGTCTGTGTGAATGGGTTTCTGCGTTTCTGGCGCGATTTGTTCCGAGTTGTCGCTGTGGATTATGGTCATGCATTCCGTCGTCGGAGATTATGGAGTATGAGAGACGAGGGAGAAAAAATGATTCATTCGTGAGAAACCGTAATCACGGGGGGGGGGGGGCAGGTAATCGTCGCCTGTGTGTATGTGTGTGTACAGTATTTTTGGTTCTTGAAGAAAATATCTGTGCTTTTTTTTTTTATGAATGATCTCGGGAGGAGACCGGAGAATGACTCGAAGTAGTGTGTGTTTTGCGTGGATCCGATGGATTAGAAAAGGTTTTGCTGTTGAGAGAATTGCAGTTATGATGTCGATATTTTTCTTTCGCTGGGATTGAAACTTTTTTTTTCTAGTTATGAATTTCTCTTCTAGTTTTCGGAAGAAAAGAATGAAATAATTTGCTTTACTGTACAGTACTGTACTTTTGTATGCCAAATTATGACATATGTTTAAAAAATAAATAAATACACTGTTACATCGGTGTTGAAAAAAATCGAGAGTTTGTCTCAAATGTGTGTTTGATGACTTCTTAGATCCATAAAAGCCTAGCTGTTTCGCTGGTGTCTTCATTTTTTGCCGTTATATTTCTGTGAAAAATTCCAAGTCTATATCGTAAGAGGATAATTTAATTTACGTGGAGTTATTGAGCTACATTTTCTGTTTGTTAGTTTGATTTTCTCCGGTTCGAATACTACGAAACGCAATTTGAGGATCAGATTTCAACTTACCGTATTCTTTTTTATGTGATTGCTGGAATAACTTCTGCGTATGAGCAGTTGTTCACATTTGAATTACCACGTGTTTTCAGTGCTTAGTTCTCTTTTCACCTGTCCAAATAATTTTAAATTGTGGGCGAAAAGAATTTATTGCACAAAATTCGTTGTTTTTGCTATGTACCGATGAAAAGTTGGCGGGTAGATTCAAGATGCCATCAGACTTCGGTTCACCAATTTTTATTATTTTTTCTACAGAAGGCTTGGATTTTCTTTTCAAAGCCTGAGGTCAACTTTGCCATGAACCTTTTGTTATACTGTACCGTACTTGTCGAAGCTTTTGAGACAGTGCCATGCGATTTCCTTTGAAAATATTTACGCGGATAAATTGATCGAACGCTAGGTTGTTATTGTGACCTTCCAGAAGAACTCTTTTTTTCCTTCCACAATCATTCGTGAGATCCCCGAGGTACCACTTTATTTCCCCAAAAAGGCAGAAGAAGGCCGCGATTTTGGGTCAGGTCACGTCGCGAACGAGGGATCCGGTGATGAGCGAGGAATCGAATGAGAAAAAAGGAGAGGACGAAAAATCACTGGCAGTCTGGGTCGTGGTTTTTTTGAGCAATTCGGGACAATTATTCCCCCTCTGTGGCTTTTCGATTTTCGGCCGGAAGTACTTGTGGGTGGACAGAACGTTGGGTCGTGAATGGTATATGCGATGAGGTCGATAATGACAACGTGGATCTACACGAAGCATTAATTCTGCTTGAGAAATTGCTGTCTGAGCTCGTGTTTCAAGGCGACAATTTTTCCTCTTTTTTTTTTTTAAATTTGTTGGGTGGAGCTTGAAGTGGATCAAGGTCGGGTTTGTCTGGGAAAAATCGAGGTTCTTCGCGGAACTGAATTCCCTCTCTTGACCTTGTGAAGGAGGCTGGTCATCTTGACCTCTGTAATTGATCATCATGTTTATACGGAGGAAAGTTTGAAGATTTGCTCGAGTTTCAATTAGTTCGAAACTGTTTTACGGGACACAAAATTGTATTCTTTTTGAAAATTTGAATAGCACCTGAGGCGCTTAATGTCTACATCAACAAATATTTTTGAACTCCAGTTTCTTTAACTCAAAAGCCCCGCAAGACAAATTCAAAGTGATCAACAACAGAATTCGACTTGCAGTAGTTTGGCTGTATAGACGATAGAATGATACAGATCTTTTCAAGGAAGCAAAAGATATGAATTTTGTGAAGATTTATTTGAGTCTCAATTGGTTTTAAAGGATTTTACGGAGCACATAATTTTCTTCATTTCGAAAGCTGAATAGTGCCTGAGGCGCTCATTGGCTAACTCTGCAGCAAATATTTTTCATTTCCAGTTTTATCAACTCAAAACTCAGCATGACGAATTCAAACTGATCAATAACAGAATTCGACTTGGTGAGGTTTGGTTGTAAAGTTGTTACAGATGCTTTCCAGGAACCAAAATCTGCAAATTTTATGACGGTTTATTTGAGTCTCGATTTATTTTCTTAATTTCGAAAGCTTAATAGTGCCTGAGGCGCCTGATGTCTAGTTGTTTCCTCAACTCAAAACCTCTGCGAGACGAATTCAAACTGATGAACAATTGGATTCGACTTCGATAGTTATGACTTTAAAGATTATACAGATACTCTCCAGGAAGCAAAATACTGTATGTAAATTTTATGAGGGTTTATTTGAGTCTCAATTGGTTTGAAACGGTTTTACGAGGCCCATTATTTTCTTCATTTCGAAAGTTGAATCGTGCCTGAGGCGCTCAATGTGCAGTTGTTTCCTCAACTCAAAACCTCTGTTAGACAAATTCAAACTGATTAACAACAGGATTCGACTTAGATAGGTTTGGCTGTCTAGATGATACAGATGCTCCCCAGGAAGCAGAAGTTGTAAAATTTTACCCGGAAAGTGTATCGAAAGCTTCAATGCCTTAATTTTTTTTTTATGCAACTCATAAACCACTGAAAACCCTGGTCATAAGCGTACCAACGCGTGGCCTGCTGTTCGCATTCATTTCTCTGATCATCTAGTGAGATTTGGCATTATTTGCGTGGAAACGAGGATAGGGTCGTTCTATAAACCTCGTTCTAGTAAACTTCGTTCAACTCATTTAAGAGCGTGAGAACTGGTTAAAGAATTTCCTTGCCCCAGTGACCTGTTCGGCGTCGTCGATTTATGGTGTGTTCTTTCGATGGAAATCTGATGTGCCGTTAGTTCAACTCTTCGAGTTTCTGCTTCGGGATTGATGTAGAATCTATAGAAATAGGGAAAGAAACTTTTCTTGTCTTGGAAATTTCTTGTCTTCGCATGCGATAAAAAATTTTAAAACGTACGTTTTAAATTTTAATTTTAAAATCCCGGTTTTAAAACGTACGTTTAATCTCACGAAGAAATAGCTTTTAATTTTGGGAATTGTTTGAACATGAGTTTGCGAACGTTCTTTTGGGTCAATCCGTTGAATAAAAAAAAAGAGGACAATATTCGTTTTGGTGCTTGAATTGTGTAACGAATGCTTTTTCTCTGGGACTAAATGAAATTTCAGAGATGACTAAAAGGTCGTAATGTGAGTAAACATTTCCGAATTGGTCTTGCATTTCGTTTCTCATTTATTTTTCTTTGACTGAAATTGGTTTCGCGAAAGGCGAGAGTTCCTGCGACACAGAAGCGAGATTTATAT